GAAGGGAAGGAAGGCAGAGTATCGATTATTGCTCAGCCACTTTGAAATAAAATMCGTGAATGTTCCTACGTGGGTGACACCTCCAGAGAGCACGCACAGGCTGAGGGGACACAGCCCCTCCTGCACAAACCTGCCGACCACCACCGGCACTGCAAATGGGATGGATGAGCAGTGACACATACCAGGGATGATGGATTTTATAAGATTGTTCATTTGCCGTGGGCACRGAGGAATTCCTGCCTCACCAGCAGCACTGTGTCCTCTTGGACACTGGAAGGAGCCCAGGGCAGGCTCCTCGTGGCACTCAGCAATCCGTGGCTTTCTCTCCACCAGTCCAGAGGTTTTTTTCTCTCTTTCACCAGTCCAGAGGTTCAGCAAAGCCACTGCTGTTGTTGAGGATTGAAGAGCAGAGCCCAGAGCCAGACAGGAGAAGCTCAGGGCTGAGCATCCATGGGCATCCTCCCCTCGGTGTGACGGGGTGACAGCGCATTTCTCCATCACCCCTGGATGCCACAGCTGGCACAGCAGCTGGCACAGCAGCTTTGGGAGCAGCAGGATTCTCCTCTGGAGTGGAACAAGCTGCAGTTTAACCCCRCTCCTCCAGATGGACATCAGCTGGACGGGGACTCTGCCAGCTGGAGTGGCCCCAGGACACGTCCCTCCTGTCRGGATACCCTCATCCAGAGCGTGTTCTCCTCCATGGTGTCCCTGCAAACCGGCTGTGCCCATCCCTGCCTGTTCCCAGAGCTTCAATCAGGACCAGGAGTTTGATTGCAGAATGCACAGCCRGCTGGAGAGATTGGGGGGGTGCAGGAAGGAAACAGAAAAAGAAAAAAAAAATCCGCACCTCTTCAAAACCAGAAAAAAAATCCTTTAAAAGGTCCAGAGATTATTTTTATCCTTGAAGGAGYAGCTTGAAAACCCCAAACTCAGGACATTGGTGGACTGAGCAATGTCACCCCATGCTGTGCCTCCCCAGTCCAGCAGCGAGCTCAGAGCCAGGGCAACCCCAGGGCTATTTATAGMAGGCTAGAAATGAACCCTGTTTTTATATCATTGTGCCTTTTGCAGAGATCTGCTTTTTTTCCAGGGAAATATTCCAGGAATCCTGAAGGGAACAGGGAGCCATATTTTGGGTCAGAAGGCTGGGAAGGGACTGGCTCAGCCGGGGCAGGGACCATGTGGGTGCAGAGCTGGGATTTGCCTCCCCTTGCATAACCACTGCATTTTTTTCCCCCTCAGTAATCCCTCGCTCGCTGCCACCCCGGGGGAACAGCCTGTGTGGATGGATGGCAGGCAGGAGAGCAAATATGGTCAAATATTTGGGCAGCTTCCCCAGGGAAAAATCCTGAGTCATCGTGGTACATSGTGCTGGGCTTTATTGTCCCTGGCTGGGGCTGGTTCGGGTTGTGCCTCACTTCTCCACGGGAAATGGGGCAGGATGGGGGTCAGGGCACATCCTCTGGAGCTGGTGGCATCCCAGGGCCACATTTTTGTGCTCGGGGAGTTTTCTGCCTCCTTTGCAGGAGGGAAAGGCTCCRTCTCCCCTCTGACCGTGCACACATGGCCTGTGGCTGACCTGACCCCRTGGAAAGACAAACAAAGCAGGAGTGGGAGCAGGATCCCATGCCCTGCWCTCCCAAGTTGCTGGATGTGTCCCTGGACACCCTGGAGCACCTCCAGGAGGGTTCACAGCCACGCTGGACTGACCACGCTGCTCGGCCTGCTTGGATGGGGAAGGAGGATGGAAAAATCCTGATCCAACCGCAGCTGCAGGGCTGAGCAGGGGGTCAGGAACATCCCCACCAGCAGCCAGGAGCCCTTTGCAGCCCCCAGAACCATTCCCTGGCTGACAAATGCCCGGGTGCATGGTCAGACCTCACTGCCAGGCTCTGCATGGGGTCAGGGTGTGTCTGCAGCCACTCCATCCCAGCCCTGGTTAATGCCCTTCTCCTTATCAGCCCCCAGCTCCTGTTTGCTTTCGTGGAGAGATCCTGGCACTTTCTGTGTAAACTGAACTCGGTTTTCCCTTTATCAGGGCAGCCTGCTCCGGACAACGTTAATGAGAAACTACAGCTCTGTCCTGTGCTGGCTGCAATGAGTGACCTTTCAGTTGCACAGTCCCAGCCGGGGAGGTCTCGGGGTTGAGGGAAATGCTGATCGAGTGGAGAGGTGCTTTGGGGTTGTTACTGAACTTGGGAGGTTCTTTCAGCTCCCCCTACTAAAAAAAGGATGGGGTTCACCTTTGGTTTTAGGAGGTGATGAGCAGGATGACCTCGTGGCATCCCTGAGGGCTGTGAATTTGGTCACGGAGGYGATTTGTGGCTTTTAGTGATCTTTTTCTCCCTCCCAGGGGAAAAACTCTGCCAGAGCTKGTCAGAGCTCAGCCATTGCTCCYTGCCTCAGTTTCCCCTCATCCACCCCATGCTCTGCTCCCCTCCCCACTCCCCAGCAGACTCCAGGCTCAGAGCAGGAAGGTTTTCCATCCCGTGGCTCATCCTCATCCCCAAACCCTCTCTTTTGCAGGAGACACAAGCTGTACAGGGAGGAGCTGAACCTGACCTCTCCAGCAGCCCCACTGCCGCTCCGGCCCGATGCCAGCTGGCTGCAATTCCACCTGGGAATCAGCCGGGATGGGCTCTACCCCCGCTCCAGCCCCACCGTCACCCGACTGCTCCGGGACATGCGGGACATCCCCACCAT